ATTAAATAAGCCATTGAGATTGTCATAGCCTTTAAGATGACCTAATAGAAATGAAGACCGTCAAGAACAACATGTCTTGTTGGAATTGATAGCAAGACACAACAAATTAGGTCTTACAATCTTAGAAGAGATGCTTTATATTTGGTGATATTATTGGAGGTAGAAATCAATCTTAATGGTGTTTTAAATGATTTATTTGAAGAAAGTAATAAAATCCTTAACAATTATCTAATAAAAAGTGTTCTCTTTTTTTTAATATATGACACTATTGATAGTTGAAAGGACTTATCAATTACTTGTAAAGTGAACAAAGATCATAGTATATAGAAACTATAATTTGCCACATTTTAAACATTTTCAACATGTAACTACTACTCTTTATGGAACTTATTTCTATAAGAGAAGATAAAGCTATGAACAAATTTATACTATAATATTAAAAAGAGTTATGTAGAAGTAAATAGGAGTATAAAATTTTAATGATATTTTATAAAAAAACTTCTTAAAAACTTTATAAACATGGATTTGACTTCCCAAATGTTGTAAGTGATTAATAGATTGATAACTTAGACAACAAGTTATGCATGTAGCACACATATTAGAAACTTGTCTTGCAATTAGAAGCATATGCCTCAAATTAATTTATAAAACATTTGAATTTATTTCAGTAGTACAAACATGTTGCTAATTAATATTTATAGTGATCGTAAGACTTTACACAATCATTAAAATATAATTCATAGTATAAATTTAACAAAGAAAATATTACATTTTGCAAGTATTATTAATTAAGTCATATTACACTTTTATTTAATTATAACTATTTTATTGGTCTAAATATATGTAAAATAATCTAACAACAAGGTCTCACTAACAATTACTTTACTTATAAATTTAAGAATTTCTTTGTGGAAATGTATAAAATAATAATAAAAAATTATGATATTTTAAGAATTAATTAATTTTTAAATATATTTAAGAAAATAGAAGAAAATTAAATTTTTGTAAATATTTCAAAAATCCTTCTTTGATTTTAAGATCTTTGGATTTTTTAATAAATATGCTCTATTTAATTGATTTATTTTTTTTCAAATAATCTTATATTTGTTTTATAAAAATCAATAGAATGTATAATTATATTTTCTCAAATTATAAAATCATAAATTTTTAGAATTTTTATTTTATTTCAATATTTTTAATTAATATAATATTATAACATTCTAATTTTTTTATTACCAATTTTATATGTATTTTATGTTTCATAATTTTAGTGTTATAATAATGATATATTATTTATTTATTAATAAATAATCTACAAGACGTAAGTATTACATCAAGATCTTAATTACTGGTCTTTTTTAGAATGTCATTTTCTTTTATAAAAAAGCATCAGTGAATGATTTTTACCGAATAATGTATGAAATTTAGAATTCAACCAAGTTTTTAAGTTACACTTGAAACATATTTAACTTATGGCACCTAAATGTGCAATAGGAAAAAAATCAGAATAGTGATTTAGTTTAGAATGGTCTACATATCAGTAAACAATTTATTTTAATAAGAAATTGATGAGAACTTATTAGTATGCTTTATATAAGAAAAATTGTATTGTTGACTTTATTAATTTTAAAATTTATTCTTTATTAATTTCTAAAAAAATAATTTAATTTTTTTTAAGTTATTTAACAATTTTGAAGTTTCGATACACCATCAAAAAATTATAAATAACAGTTAATATATTTAGCGTTAACTGTTTAAGTTTACTTATTCCTACAGAAATCATTGTAGCTGTAATATGTTATAAAAATCAACGTCATGTCATTATACTTATAACGTTGTTTTAATTAAAAATTTAAAAACATATTATTAATAAAAATATTGATCGTTGTTGTTTAATAAAAAAAATATAACGTTCTTTCCTGCAATTAGATATCCATTTATTTTTAATTTCTTTTTTAAGTTCATGAAAGATATAATTGTATGTTTAAAAAAACAAAATCAAAACATAAACCAAAATAAAAACTAGATGTACACATACATGCATGCAGTTATGATCAAAAGATTTTAAATAACTAATAATAGAATATCAGCTTAGAAGTTAAATTATTGGCTGTGAACTCACTTATATTAATAAGTTGCTGCAAACTATATATATATATATATATATATATATATATATATTTATATATATATATTTATATATATAAATATCATAATTACACAAACTGAAATCTAGTTATACAATTCAATTTAATAAAAATACTAAGAATGTTTATGACAAAAATATTTCAAATTTATTTGCAAACATAGCAGGGTAGATTTAAGCTTAGAAGTAGATTTGGTTGACATATGTACGACTTGCAAAGTCTATGACTAACATAGAAAAATCACCTCAAAAGAATAATCATCTCAGGGATTTAAAAGATATTAAGTTTTGTAATTCTATTTTCTAAACATGTCTTATCTTTTTCTGAAACTGAATGAAGACACTGCCTTTTAATTGGAGGTCCAAATTAAATTAAATGATTTATTTTTTAATCAAATTATAAATTATCAATTATCAAATAGCACAGTGAAAACTAGTGCAAGTATGTTATGAAGTTTGTAATTGTCTTGTGTCAATAGTAACATAAAAATGAGTCCCTTAAGCCTAATTGAAAATGATATATACATATGTCAGCTTTGAAATATTTTTGTAATTTTTGCCTTAATAAAGTACTCTACTATTTGAGAAGTTTGTCTTCTTTTAATTTACAGATGAAATCAACTACATGTATATTTATATAAATATGAAAATTATTCAGCTTTAAGATTTTGATTTATCATCCAATGATAATATTGTTTGTAAACATATTCACACATTAAATCATTTAAACTCTCGATCAAAGTCATAGAACTGAACTAGCTTCAAAATAAACATAACTTCCCAACACTTTTTTACATTTTTTTTTGAAAATGTGATTCTACACCTTGCATGTAAATTGTAAGATTATACTTTAGTACCAATTTTTTTGACTTATTGGATTTCTTAATATAAGTTTTTAAAGCAGGTTAAGTTTGAATTCTTAACTCATTTACAGTGCTTTTATCTTTATTTCAATTATTTAAATTGTCCTGTTTGTATATTTTCGCACAGCGTTTTTAGAATTTAATAAAATATTATATTTTATAAAAAAATTGGTATATTTATTGGTTTGTGCTCTTCATATGTATTTATTTGTAATCAGTTCGCTATAAGTCAATCAAATTAACAAAGATCCAAAGTACCATCAAAGATCTCAAACAAGACACGTGCTCTGCTTTCAAAGGTTTTTAATTTTTAGTATTTTTAGTACGCAGTTTAATTTAGAATAAAATGAAATATTTTTGTTACAGATTTAGATTCGATTACAGCTCCAGTTCTTTAGAAAAAAAATCTAAAGTTTCATTATATGAATTTTACATTCGATTTTTGAAAGGGACAAGTCAGGTTTGCCATCTCCAGGTGTATCCCAGACCTATTCTGACACAATTAGAAAGAAAAAGAAAAAGAATCTGAAACGCACATTGTTGAGCGTGTATTCGAATATCCGAAATTCAAATAAAAATCACTGTAATTAGACAAAACCCAACTGAATAAACGAGTTTATTTAGAATGTAGTCCGTACCCAACCTCTGATTCTAGCGTTGTATGGAAATGTAGGCAATAACGACCAGAGAAAAATTATCATCACACATCCAAGTTCCATTCATCCGAAGCGGCTGAAAGCAGGTGCAGGACTGACAGCAGTAAGAGGGCCAGAGTCTCAGAGCCAGAGAGAGTCAAGTGAAGTGGCTGAGGTGGACTGCCACGTGGGTTTCCTCTCTCGCTCCCGCCTTTTTTGTGAGTAAGAGAGAGAGTGTGTATCTTTTTTCTCTCTCTCTATGTGTCCTTTCAAATCTCAGGGGGCAGTGGGAGGCTATCCTGCAGACAGACCTGAAGCCACGCTTGGATGGATGGATGGCCAGACATGCAAACGGATGGACAGACGAAGCTTAGTGACACACTGGATTCCGGCACCTTTTAATTTCTACAAATGCCTGAAGTGACATGCACTGCATACTTGTTTCAGGAAAACATTATTTTAAATATTTTATTTTTGTTTTTTTGTATTTTTTTGGTATTTGATGTTTATGTAAAAGTCATTTGTATTTATAAATGCATTAGACAATAAACCCACATATATATATATATATATATGGAAGTTTATAAATAAACTTGGAGTTTGTATTTTTTGTCTGGTATGTTTTATTTCAAGATTTAACAGGTTATAATAATGTACAGATTTTAAAGCCCGCAAAAAGGTATTTGTGGTTGTTGTGTTATTTCAATCATGGGAATCAAACAAGGAAAATGTCATTTACTAAATCCTTTCGAGATAACCAATGTGGGTCATTGGAAAACAAAGATAATAACAATAATAAATGATAAGATGAACAATTGATGCCCTTCGGGGAAATAGATTTGGTTTCATCCGAGACTTTGTTCCACTGGTTTCTAATTTTGAAGTTGGGACAAGAACAAAGACAACAATATGCGGCTCCTTGTGCTTCCAATTATATTCTCCACAAATCATGCTTCATGTCTCCTTCTTCCCCCTAGCAAACTAAATTCTCCATTCAATTCCATGATGACATTATGTCAATACTCTCCAATCCTTCCAAAAAAAAAAAAAAAAAAAAAAAAAATCCCCCACCTTAAATACCCCCCCCCCACTAACAAACAAATGATTAAATCACTGTAACAGTAAAGTCAAGAAAAAGTCATGCGGAAGTGGCAATGGAATGGGTAGAGGAAGAGAGAGAGGGAGGGAGGGAGACTGGGCAGGCATCGGGGGGCCTATCACACACTGCGACGCGGTGATGGGCATTCCGGGTGTATGAGCCGTGCCGTGTCGTGCCATGCCTGCGCACCCCCTACCCCCCCCCCTCAAGCCGTTCCGATCCGCTCGACTCGACTCGTCTCGTCTCGTTTCGTTTCGTGTCGACTGGACTCGTTCTTCGAGGCTGTCTGTCCGGTCGGCTTTGATGATGCTGATCATGCAGCCTACTCCTACTCCTTCTCCTCCTACTTGTCCTCCTCCTCGCCATGATAAACAGCATCTGTTCTGGCAGGCAGTCATAACATGGGAACCCGAAGTGGCATCATCCCGGCATTGCTCCCGACTCTGCGATCGTCTCTGCTCTCTCCTCTTCCCTCTAGGGTTTTGTCGGATTCTTCCATTTTTGCCAGTGCAATGTCCTTTCTGGCATCAGATTGCTGGCCAGGCCGTCTCGACATCCTGGCTCCGGCTTTTTTGCCTCTTCTCGATTTCATGAATTGTGTCTCTTCGTTCCGACACCCCAAGGCTGTTCACTCTGTCTGACATCCTCTAGGATTGCCAGCCTTGTGCGAGCGAGCTTACTCGTTGGGGCGTCGAATTAACGTTTTTAGGTCTGTAGATTCGCGGTGCAGATGTTTCGTACGTGATGTTTCGCACAATAGCAGCTGCTGGAATCGAATTGCGCTCGGCAATATGATTTCACGTGCCGTGCAAGTTTCGAATTTGTATTGACTTAGTTTAGCACTGCTCAGCGGCTCCGCGTCCAAGTTTAAGGATCGTCCACTGTCATATTGGATTTGGAGACTGGCTGCAAGGATTCGCAAGTACAATTTAACAATCAGAGGAAAGGTATCTGTCATCACTTAGAATTTTGGAGCATCTTGAAGCACCAGCAGTGCCACAAGCAGAGAAGTGAGCATACAAGTAGATTTACATTGAAGACACTTGAAGGTAGTTCTTCTCGTCTTTTGCGAGTAGCCTAGGGTATCAGGTCACAGTGGCTGGGTCGAATAAGAGGGCAAGGCTGGACCTTCTACGGCAGTCCTTCATGAGTGATCCTGAGGACGAAGAAGACAGCTTGAGACTTACACTAGGGCCTCCTGGCTCCTCGTCTCGGCTGTCGCCTTCGCCAGATCCATTTCTCCGTTCTGCTTTTCAACAGCAAGGGCCACTTTTGCCGGTGGTGACGACGCTCTACGAAGTGGATGAACACTATCGCCCTCGACGCACCCCTGTGCGCACTTTGCCCCCTGGTTCACAATGCACAAGTCAGTCCCATGTTCCTTACCTCGCATTCTTCTCATCAATACTCTTCTGTTTTAATTGAGTTAAATTTGCAAGTGTAATTTTTATTTATTTAATTAATTAATTCATTCATAAAGCATTGGTGTGACAGAAAACAAATAACCGTAACCGTAATAGTCTAAGAAATTCGTCATAATCCATTTTGTGGTGGTAGATTCAATAGTTGGTACTAGGAATTTCAACAACCGTTCATAATACGCATTCCCGACACTTCTTGAATGACCATATGATGCGTGCATTATCTTATAATTATCAGTTCCTTTCCCTTAACTCCTCTCTTCCGCCTTAATTATGCTTTTGGAACCACTAAAACTTGTAGTAACGCGAGATGATAATACAGGACTGCAGTATGGTAAATGCCCAATTTTGCACTTTAGTCGCCTTTGTCTGTTCCGAATGGACTCTTATATTTTAGAGGGTCTCGAACTCATTAAGGAACGTTTACGATTAGGTTGGTTTACTTTGGAAGGAAGTTACACACGTATTCAAGGGAAGTAAATTGTTTTCTTTAATGTGAACTTGAGCACTTCAATATATCGGTTTTGTTTTTCTTGTATTTGGAGAGGATTCTGTGTTTTTTATGGGTTACATGTTTATATGCGTTATAGCATGTACTAAGCTAGCAGTACGATTCAGACTTGGAGAAGTTCTAAGTTAGTTTAGATTCGTTGTTAGGCATAGTTGCATCACGACATCATGAATTCTATTGAATATTTCTTCTTCAACTTTGTAGACTTGAAAGCTCGAGTTTCTAGTTTGGAATCTCGATTGCACAAATGGCCGTTTTCAATGATTTAGTGAGCTTCATGTATGGAAACTGTTCGAAGTCTCACTTTCTTGGTAGTGTTCGGAGAAAGATATCATACAATATTTTTGCTCATTCCAATGTGTGGATTGTGGCAGGTGAGCGGTTGTTAGGTACTGGCGGCAATGTAACGAAGAAAGGTCCTCATGTCTCACCCCCATTTCTATGGTCATCAGAATATCGTGCGAAGAACCATAGTCTTGAGTGGATATTGAGACGCGGCCTAACCAGTATTAGTGGTGAGGTGCAGTGTAAAAGGTGCGATGGAATGACTACTGTCGAGGTCAATCTACAGGTACGATTTCTGTATTTCTCAAGTGTATTTCAAGTAGATATTCGCCTCTACCCAGTGTACTGCTGGTTAATGTTATTGTTGTTGCTTCTTTCTTCTGGGTAATTTAGCGCCACAAAACTTGCTAATTCTGTGAGGTTGTTTGGTGAATTCAGGCAGCTTTTGTTCAGCTTGAAAGATACTTCCTGGAGAACAAGCACTTAATGCATGATCGCGCACCAAAGCACTGGATGGTTCCACGGCTTCTTGATTGCACATTGTGCCGTCAAATTGACTGTGTGAAGCCAATCATAGCTGAGAAAAAGAGAGAAATAAACTGGCTATTTCTCTTGCTAACTCAGACTCTTGGTCTTTGTACTCTTGATCAGCTCAAGTTCTTTTGCAAGCATAATGATAAACATCGAACTGGGGCAAAAGATCGCGTCCTATACTCCACCTATGGGGGCCTGTTGAAACAGCTCAATCCGGCCGGTAAATAGTTACCAAATGACTAGATTAACTATACCTGCTTATGTTTGCAAAGTAGCTCTCCGCCGACAACACACCAGAGAATTAATGGGATTGTGGAGGAGAGAATGCCTTTTAGGTACATCAATATCGATGTGTCTATCACATGAGATTATACGTATTTGAAGGTCAATTTGTTACTATGCTGAACGTGAGTAAGATAATTCAGCTCTTAGTTTAGGCAAGCTTGGTGATTGGCAGTTGTCAGTTATCTCGTAGTCTTCCTGCGATGTTTTACTTCCATAAGCAAGTCAATCCTGCAGACTAAGCACAAATTGTGCCCGACTGTATTGACTCTAAGGACGGATTTAGTCTGAAAAGCACTGCTCTTAGCTTACCTTTATTTGAAGATTTTTAATGATAACTAGTTTCTTGGAGGATTTTCAAGAATTAAGGTAATTAAATTAAAGTCTCAGAACTTGTGTGATTCATGATGGTCATCCTACTTTACTGTAAGCCTGTCCATTGTTAAGTAATTTTAATATTGTGATACTACCAAGGTAGTGCCTTATCTCATATAACTTGATTGCTCCAGATTTACAAGCTTTTCTGCAATACTAAAAAATGTAACTAAAATTACAACTTAAACTATTTTTAACTGTTGTGAAATGACTATGTAATATACACAGTATCAAGCAATATTTTATTTCAAATGAAAGAACCTAAATCCTTTCTAGTGGAGTTTATCAATGTAGAGGATGATAAATAGGAAGGTGTATTATTGATATTACATATTCTTTAAGTATTGTAAATTACTTATTGTAAATTACTTCCAATGCAACTTCTTAAAAGTAAGAAAGTAGAATACTATGTTTTAATAAATGTGAGGAATATTTAGAAGTATCTAAGGATGTAATAAATATTATTATTATTACTTTTTAAAAATTTTCTTGATCAAGATATTATCTATTTAATATATATTTTTATTTATTTTTATTCAATTCTATTTATTTAATTAATATTAATATTCATTATCCATATACATATGTTTGTAGATGTTAGAATTAAAGTTATTGGTTAATTTTTATTATATATGTATATATACACTTAGTAATAAGTACCTTACACCTTTGCTTTGTGAATAATAAGAAATAAAGAAGAAACATTAAAAAAAATGATACTATAGAGGTTTTCTTTTGTCAAAGTTAATTATACCTTCTAAAAGTAGTAATTTAGAGAATAATTTAAGAAACTTCTTATTATAGAAATTTTAATCAATTAATTTTAAAGCAAACATTCTTTATTCATATAGTTGAGAAAATTAAACAAACATCTCTATTTTATTTCATTGAAAACAATGTTTGTAGTATAGTGGTAATTACTTGTATCTTTGTACAAAGAATTAAAAAAAATTAAATATATATAATAAATTAACTTATAATCAACTAATATATATGATTGGATTTTTTTGTCTTTGTAATTTATTTATAATAAAGAATAATATTAATTTTATATCATATTTCTTCTATTATATAATATATATATATATATATATATTTGATTTTAAAAATTAATTCTTATAATAAAAAAATTTCATATTATTTGTAAATCAATCATTATTATAATGTAAATAATACATTATTAGAACTTTGATTAATATTAAGCAATAAGATCTTTAATTTATGTTAATATATTTAGAAAATTATTTAAGTATAGTTTTTTAGTTAGCTTATATATATATATATATATATATATATATATATATATATATATATATATATATATAAGCAAGAATGAAATCTTCCTTACTTTTATCAACTCTTTTCATGCTTTCAGTTTAGTTTCAAGAGTTTGTAATTTTCTTTTATCTTTTGCAATAGCCATTCTAGTTTCTTCTTATATTTACAAAAATATATATATATATTCTTGATATCATCTTTTTTTGAGACACATCTCACTTTTTTAATCACATTATTTAAATTCTTGTCATTGACAGGCTTATTAGAATATTGCTTTCAAATTTAGTTTATCATAGTTTTCATCTTTCTTTAAATGGCATGATCCTATATTGGTTAATTTAGATGTATTTTTGGAAAAATTTCAATCCATGTATAAAAAACATAATGCAATTTGTGTTGCAACCAACAAGATTTACATTTTGTGTTAAAGCATTTAATCAATACCACTATATGCTTTATGATTTTAACATCTTGCAATCAATATTAAGTAAAATGATTCTACACTTATCAGCCTATTTTTCCATAGATTCTAATATGAGATAAAAAAATTAATATTAATTTTTTTTATCTTCATAGTTTGAGTCAAGAAATTGATTTTGCTGTAAAATGTAACAACTGGCTTATTAAATTTCAATGTGAGAGTTACCTAAGTATGTCTAAATATCTTCACAATTCAATAGCAACACTAATATCTTGTCAAATCATATATTTGAAAGTAGAAGATATGCAAATTGATGCAATATATTTTAAATTCTTCATTGAAGAAGAAAAGAATTGACATTGTCAAGAAGAATTGTGCTTATATTATGAAGAATCTAAGCACATTGCCAACATTTTTTAAAAATGTGATACAACTACAAAATAAATAGCATGCTTTTCAAAGAAGACAATGTTGGAAAATAAGTTTTCTCAGCTACAATAAGAACTATGTAGGTAGAATTTTGTGAAACACTTAGCAAAGGTAATGTTCTCTCTTTAAAACCATTATTTTGTTTTACAATATATGTTTTTTTAGGCTCTAAAAATCACCAAGCCTCTATCTTATTAAATTTAGGAGTCTCATCTTGTTTTTTAAATAAAATTTTTATTAAAATATATAAAATATCCTTGATAAAGATAACTAAGGCTGTACATATAAGAGTCATAGATTGTTATGTTTTTATTTTATTTTATTTTATTTTTTTCTTTTCTTTTCTTTTAGAAATGTTACAAAACAAATTTTCTTTTAGATATGGCAAAAATTGATCATAATAGCTTAGTAACATTTGATGTTATTAAATCTTATTTTAATCTAATTTTTAAAAGTTTATTATAGGAAAAAAATATTATTTTATAAATATATATATTTTTTTGTAATCTTTAATTTTTCAATATGATAACCAAGATTTTTGCTATCTAATAAAAAAAACCAAAAATCTTATTTGTATATGCATAAGCTTTAATAACATCAAATGCATATGCTATAAAAAAATAATATATATATATATATATATATATATATATATATATATATTTTTTATATTTATGCTATATTTATTTCTAAAAATAAAAATAATTTAAGTAATATTTTAATTTAGTATAAATATTTTTAAAATTCTCTTTTAGATAAAATGTAGATACTTTTTTGAAATATTATCCTAATTATTACTTAATTGATCTTTAAAAAGGAGTTTAATTATCATTTGGACCAATCTAAAGTTTATTAAAAATGAGTTGTATTCACTTAGAATATACATCAATGAAAATTTATTCGAAAATCTCATATGCCATTCAAAAGTTTTAGCAAGAATTCTTACTGTGTCTATATATAAAAAAGACAAATCACTATGTAAGTCACTAAATTGTTTCATGAATTATTTTAGAAGAAAAGAACACAATTAAAGTGCCAAGTGAAATAATTAAGTGAAAGATTAGGTAAAAAAGTCTAAATATAAGCAAAATAGGATTAATATATTAATTATAGCTAGTATAAAAAATCTAGTATAAATTCCTAAATAGAAATTATTTTGGCAAGCATCAAATTGGCATCTTTTTAATATCTTATAAGCATCTAAAAAGAATCCAAGATATTTTATAATTTCTATAGAATTTATATAGATCTTGGTACAGAAAGGATGTTGTTGTATTTGTAAACCGCTCATGGATGGTAGTTGAAGATCATATTGTCATGAGGTGATTCGAGCCCATTATAAATCTGACTAGCTAATTCATTTTATTCCAAGAGATTGTCATTGCCACTAGCAAATTTTAGCTTGTATATTAATGTCATTAGAATTTTATTTGGTTTAGTGACATTAGATTAAATATTGGCGAGTTTAATAGTTGTGCATCACAATACTTCTATCTATTGACACTTCTTATATGAAGTAATAATTGTGACTAAATAAGCTCTTAAGAACCATTGAGCTGACAACTATATGTCAAAGACATGAATCTCAAAGAAAGAAATTCTCAATACACTCTTGTATCACTTGAAAAGATTAAAAGTCACTCAAAGATAGTAATATATTGAATTAGAATGACTATTTCTAAATACAAAAAGACTACAAAATCTTGAAATAAGATTAAAGACTAGAATGACTATTTCTAAATACAAAAAGACTACAAAATCTTGAAATAAGATTAAAGACTAGAATGACATTGACAAGACTAAAAGAGGCTTCACCCTTGCCTCTATATATACTTTTTAATTAGAAGCTACATAGCCATGTTCTATAGGATCTTTAATACATGTTAACTTTACAAGACACATATCTTAACTTATAAGGATTTTTTTTTTTTTTTTTTTATATGTGTGCCATAAAATTAGTTTGTTCTATAAGCTATCAATATATATGACATGGTATTAATTTGTTGACTAAGTTTTTAACCTATCAATCAACTACAAACGCATGTAAAGTCAAAATTGCATCTATGAAGCTTCTAAAAAGCTTTTCTAAAAGATATTATAAAATTAATCTACTTTTATTTATTTCTATTTAATCATATAGATAATAATTGAAATAAATATATGTCTGTGATATAATCTTTCTTGCTAGAAACCAGTTCCAAAAGAAGCAATCATCATATTTTTTGAATCTTATTATTTTTTATCTTAGTTTTGATAGATGTTAGCTCAAAAAGAGATATGTGGAATATAAGATGAATATCCATAGACTCCAATAGATATAATCAATAAGCAATATGATTGACTTATTCACAAATAAGAAAAGATCCAAGCTTACAATAATCCAACTTATCACAAGAACAAGTAGTCTTGATATTGCAACAAAGTAATTATGCTATGTCATCCATCTTAAATTGTGGTTGTTCCTTGCAATAGATATCTAGATTGATCTTTTATTATTTTTGAACTTCTTTTAATTGTGCCTTTAATATTTTATATAGCTTTGATAAATGATTTATCAAATCTTTTGTTAGAATTTTATCAACTTTTAAAAATTCAAAAGCATCAAGTCATAGATTATAACCATAATTGATAAAAAAAAGATGTTTATTAAATAGAAAAATGTATCAAATTATTATGTGTAAACTATACCAATGGCAAAAAAATTGTCGAATCATCTTGATAATAGTTGATGGTAGACCTCAAATACTACTATAGATCTTTATTTACTTATTTTTTTTATCCATCAATTTGAAGATGAAAGGCCAAAGATAATTTTATATCTACCTTTAATATCTTAAAAATGATTTTTTAAAATCTTGATATAAATTATGTCCTTCTATCTGATATAAT